CTGTTTCAGGCCAAAGGAGAGATGCAGGGAGAATGGAGACAGTGGAACTGAAAAAGGTGTGCGAGGGAAACGTGCTCTGGAAGAAGAGGAAGATGGAAATTCTGAGCTTCTGTCAAAGAATAAACAAAAAAAGAAGTTAAGAAATCCAAATAAAAGCTTTGATCCATCTTTAAAACGTAAGTTCCATTTACTGGCATAAAGGTATGGAGAGTTGCTGATACCATCTTTGACATAACTTGCCACTAAGAATTTTCCTGGCTTGTGTATTTGTAGAAACTCCTTGAAAAAGAAGGGAAATTATTGCTATTGAAATTTCAGTAGCATGCAACATGATTCAAATAAAGTTCACTAGTAAAGGAAACAAGGATCAAAGTAGTAGGTCACTGATTCTCTCTAAGCATCTTTTTAAGATCAAAATGGTTTACAAAGTGAATTGTAGCTGTCACTAGCATTTGAAATGGAAAGTTTTGTATGAATTTCAAGATGATGTCCTCCTGTTTTTGTTTGACTTGAGGATTAAAATTTGCAATGTTTGGATTTTAGCATAGAGGCACTTAAAAATTCGAAGTATTTTTACCTTTGCACTGTTATTTGAGGTACTGTATTTTTATTTCAAAAAGAGTCTCTGGCTAGAAAAGCACCAAGCTTTTCTGATTTTTTTTTTTTTAACTTATTTCTTCCACATAAAAATACCATTGTATTTAATCAATTGGATCAGCTTTCTCTCTCTCTCTCTCTCTCCCTCAGCCAAATATGCAAAATGTGATCAATGTGGAAACCCTAAGGTAAGTCAGTACAAGTGTCCATAAAAGCATTTTCTTTAAATGGAAATAAAATGACCATGAAGGGATCAGTCACACAATGTCTGGATTGAGACAAGGGGCACGTGGTGTCCCTCGGGGGTCTGTACTGGGACCAGCACTGCTCAGTGTCTCCATCAGTGATGTGGACAGTGGGAGCAAGAGTGTCCTCAGGGCATTTGCAGATGACACCAAGCTGAGTGCAGTGATGACACAGCTGAGGGACACGGCCATCCAGAGGGACCTGGACAAGCTCAGGCAGTGGCCTGTGGGAACCTCTGAGGTTTAACAAGGCCAAGTCCAAGATTCTGCACATGGGTCAGGGCAATCACAGCATCAAATCCAGGCTGGAGGATGCACAGATTGAGAACAGCCTTGCCCAGGACTTTGGGGTGCTGTTGGATGAGAGGCTGGTCATGGCTCAGCAACGTGTGCTCACAGCCCTGGGAGCACCTGTGTTCTAGGCTGCATCAAAAGCAGCAGGTCCACGGTGGGGGGGATTCTGTGCCTTTACTCTGCTCTTATGAGACCCCCTCCTGACATACTGCATCCAGCTCTGGAGCCCTTGGTGCAGGAGACACGTGGAGCTTTCAGGGCAGGCCCAGAGGAGGCTACAAATATGATTAGGGGATGGAGTCCCTCTGCCATGGAGACAGGCTGAGAGACTGGGGGGTGTTCAGCCTGGTGAAGAGAAGCCTCTGGGGAGCATCACTGCCCCTTCCATTTCCTAAAGGGAACTTAAAAGAAAGACAGCAATGGACTTTGTAGCAGAGCCTGTTACAGTAGGGCAAAGGGTGATAGATTTAAAGAGAGTAGATGCAGACTACATATGCCTTAGATTAGAAGCCATTTTTTTATGGTGAAGCAGTGGCCCAGGTTGCCCAGAGAGGTTGTGGATGCCCAATTCCTGGAAACATTCAAAGTCAGGTTGGACAGGGCTCTGAGCAACCTGATCTAGTTGAAAATGTCCCTGCTCTTTGCAGGGGGTTGGAGTAGATGACTCTAAAGGCTCCTTCCAACCCAAACTATTCTATGATTCTATTCTGTTATTCCAAATCCTGAGGTAGGTGCGTGCCAAGTCCTGCTGATAAGTGTGTGTGGAGAGGAAAGTCCATACTTGGGCAAAAGCTTTTTTAACCAGTAACTGTAACCGATCTCTGAGGTTGAAGGTGCTGGACAAAAATCCTTAACATATATAGGTTCTTTGAGAGAATTTACTTTCCTCTCCAAAAAAAGTGCACTCCTGCTGCTGCTGAGAGTATTTATTTATTGCTATGACAGTTGAGTGAATTAATTGAATTACCCAAGATATCTTGGAAACAAATCTCCAGACTTCCACACATGTATGGTCTGCATATTTTACTGTGAAATGAAAAACAAACCCCTCTTACCATGGTTAGTGGTGGCTAGAGTTTTTCTGCAAAGTGAAAATTTGAATAATTGGTGTGGTTCTTAGTGTACTAATAAAAATACTTCAAATGTCATCACAGTTCAGGCTGCAGTGAGTGTCAGGCAGCACCTGCAGCTCTGGCTTCTGTTGTATTTGGATCTCTGTCTTTATCAAAACAAACATAAGCACCTCCTCATCCTCAGTCTTGCCTATGCAGCAGATTAACATTAGCTTTCACTATTAGCAATGCGAAATGAAGCAGCTGGTTTTACAGATTCTGTATTGAGATTTCAAATATTTTGCTATTTGCAAAGAGTTCATTTTGTTTTTGCGTGTTTATTTTTTCCTTGGGGAACATAGCTGTTTGCTTGACAGAGTGGTGTTGCTGAGCTGTGTGAGCAGAGGGTATTTATTGCTGCTAATATATCTGTAAAGCAGGGTGTAAGATACAAGTAATTTTGTGTTCTACCTTAAAAGTTACCCTTACACCTCAGCGGGGCGAGGCAGGTGTGATATTGCTCTCTGTTGTAACAGTTACTGCAGCGCAGCAGTGGCAGCCAGCTAGGGCTCAATTTGAAGCTGCAGCTACTGAAAAAAAGGGATTTTTTTGCTGGGTTCATTATTGGGAAAGCATTGAGCACTGAGCTGGCCTGCTTTCAAAGCCATCCTGTATCATCACTAATCCATGTGACATCACTTGGTGCATAAACCAGGAGTCTGCACCAGGACTTTGTTTTGCTCTTGCATCACTGTAATGTTGCAGGTAGCTCTTGACATCTTCTGACTAGGTCTGTAATTTTATTTTTCCTAGATTATGTGTTTCTGAGCTAGGTCATGAAATGGGATGAGGGGGTGGGGGCTGTAGAGAAGAAGGAATTCAACTAAAGCTTTCCTAAACATGAAGGATTTTCTGACTGGGGTGGAGGGAATCACACTAAACAACATCAACCCCCTTTTCTAAAATGTGTGTGAGCAAAGCACCCCAGAGACCCAGGCTCATACTGCCACATCATCAGTTAGCTGAGACTCTAAGGGTCGTACATTTTACTTTAATAAATATGCAGGTGTATTTTAAGATGCAAGTAGGGAAGTAATTCTGGTGGGAACATATTTTAGGCATAGCTGCAGATGGTAGCACTGTGTTTCGTGTTGCAGACAACTAGAGCAAGCTGACCAGCACCAAGTGTGTTCATGCTTGTTCCAGAGGGCTTAGGGCATGTGCCTGCTTGTGGTCGGCAACTCAGGCTGCCCAACAGATTACGTGGTTTGCACAAGTTGAATGTGGATTTTTTTTTTGGTTGGTTAGGGTTTTTTTGTTCTTATGTGCAAACAGTGGATAGCCCCCATATGACACCAACTCCATCATCTTCACTAGGCTGAGAACGTGGTTTTCTTCCAAAGATCTGAAAGTGCAGAGCTGCATTGTTACTTATTATAGTAAACAGTAATAATTTTATTTTCACTGACACAAGGTTCTTTATACCACTATCCCAACCCAGGGCAATAAATGTGTGTTTAATATGTGCCGAGGATGCTGCAAGAAAAGAGCATTCAAGGAGGTAGCAGATTGTCCAGGTAAGTGTATCTGGCCTTACCAGCCATCAAGCAAACATCTCGTTATTCTCCCATGTATATTCATTACTTTAATCTTTGGGTTATGGGGAGTAGGAGAGTGTTAAAATCGACATACTACCCTAAAATGCTACATGCTGTCTAAAAGTTTATAGTACCATTTTAAAAGACAGCTCTTCCTTCTCTGTATGTCATTGCTCCTGCTTCCAAAGCCTCTGGATGCAGTTTCCAGTCTGTAAAGACCACTTTTTTTTAAGGAATAATTCTGTTTACCACTGCAGTAATCTCATTTCAGAATGTTAGTTTAGGGTTTTATTCCCCTTTTGCTTTTTCAGGTCATGGATTACTTTTTAAGACCAAGTATGAAAAATCCCTTTCGTGGCAGCACAGTCAAAGAGGAATTCAAACCCCAGAGATCAGTCAGAGAGGAGATGCAGAGGTGGGGGAGATGGCAGTGCTGAAGGAGGCTGGTGACATTACAGGGTGAACTTTGGAAATGAACAGTCCAAGAGCTCCTGCCAGACCACTACTTCCCTGGGCCAAAGAATTTGTCATCTCCAGCTCGTTGTCAGCTGTGTGAACATGTTCCACATGATTAAGTTCTGGAAAAGTTTTATTTAAGTAAAAAACTGCTTACTCAGGGAATTATCCTGCATTTGAAATAAAAAGAGATGCAATTAAATGTCTCATGCTGTATTTGAAAGACTGAAAATGCTGCATTTTTGGGTGGAGGCAATTTCTGTAAGCTGTCATTACACTCTGCCTCCTGTATGCTCATTAACCCTCCATATTCTGTTTTTAATATTGGGGCCTAAAGTGATTGTATTAGAACAGCCTTCTGGCACACTAAAAATAGCTATGTCAGTGACTTCCTCACTAACAGAAAATGTGTCATATCTGTTAGTGTTTTAGTAGGCCACATTTTTAATGCAGAAAGAAAAGCAGCAGTACTTGTAAAAATGTAAGATCTTGCTATATCCACATTAACAGTTATTAGTTTCTTACAGTATGATGAAACTTAACAGTCTTCCATGAACCAAAGACTGGGGGGAGGATGAAATCTCTATTTTAACAGAGAGGGTTGTCTAAAAATATGTGGGAATTTGGAACCAAATCAATGAACATTTCCCTGCTCAAGGTCTCATACTTTCACTATGTGGTCATTTGTCCTTCACATGTGATAAATTCTGAGAGGCGTGTGTCAAAAACCAGATGCAGGTCCTACACGTGCCTTTAAAAAAGATGGGAACTTGAAAACACCTCTCCCACCTCCTGTGCAAAAAGTCCACTTCTTCTCTAGCACAGGCATACATACTAAAGCTGTCAAGTATTCTGAGTTTCCTGGTCTATTCCCCTCTCCTCTAGTAAAAAACCTAAATATTTATTATCCTAGAATTTCAAACAGTTTAATTGACCTCTTCCCATTTACAGTTTCCCAAAAAAACCAGAAAGCTCAGTCATTCTCCTGCTCAAAGTCCACAAAGGCGAAACAGCTGGTTCCAGCACAAGAGACCTGGGGCTGAGTGAGAGATGTGGCTTATCTTCTTTCCCACACAGAGAGATTTTAGCTCACACCTCCCTCTCACAAATACAGTCTCATCACAGAATCACCAGTGTACAGGAACAATCAAGGTGGCTTTAGGCTCCTAAATTCAGGAGGGGTCTTACACTTTTCTAGAAGAAACGTGCCTCAACAGTCCTGACTCCCATCTACAAGATCCTAAAGCAACAGCAGCTTCTTTCACAGGCTAAAGGAGAGAGTTATATACCAGTAACTCTGCACAAAGCATCCACGATGCCAATGCAATAAAAGATGCTCGATCACTCCCAGAGAGGCTGCAAGTACTTTTGTCTGGGGGGACGAAAACTTCCCACCTCTGCCAACACTACAGAAGGGCCCCGGGCCACAGCCAGAGCTGGAAACTGCTATTGCCACCTTGTGGGCCCCTTGTGGCTGCTGAGAGATGTGTGATGCTGCTGGTGTCTGGAAGAACAGAGACTCCAATCAGCTCAAGACATCACTGACCACTGAGGAGCCCTGCAGAAGAAATTCTCCAGCAAGGGACAGATATCGGTCAATAAAATCCTGAAAGTGGAAGCACAGACTGCCACCTGGCATGGTGCACTTCACTGGGATGCATCTTCTAAAGAGCAGAGTTTAAGATCTTTTCCTTACAAATAGTATCACTGGCTCATTTGGGGAAGAAAGCAAGAATGCTTGAGTAGCATTTTAGGACTGAAAAGCTTTCCTTCAGCATGAACAGAAAGCATAACAGTACTTTCCCTGCATTTCTTATACAGATGTACAGCAATTTACCCAAGGACTCAACTTGCCTTTCTCACTAAACTGGGTATCAATGATGCTCAACACTAAGTTCTTCCCTCAAAAATGGGAGAATTTTTCCATGCCAAATGTAACCAAAGACCTCACAGAAACTATTGCTTCCATTTTCAGCACCTAAGTCATAAACAGCATGGAAAGCCAGGGAGAGGCCACTGTTGCTACAGGAATTTTGCTGTTCAAATGTTCATTCAAAATGCACTTTCTTCACAGTTCATCCAAGCTACATCTCCAACCAGATCAGAAAGCAAAACACAATCGCCTACAAAAGATCAGGAAGCTTAGCAAAAAAATCAATGGCTTGATATCAAAATGCCTAAAACCCACTTTAACACAAAACTCAAAATACTCGGAAGCTTTTAAATCCTGTTGTTTAATGCACTAGATATAACAACTTACCTTTTCTAAAAAAAAAAAGCATGAACACATTAAAAGTAACATCTGTAGTCACTTGCCAGACCAGTCAGGGTTGGATCAAAATTCTCAGCTTGCCTTACGGATTAGGTGAATACAAGGCTGCAGTGACTTCAGAAAATGCAGTGCATATCTCCTTTAATGAATACAGGAACACACACACACACCACACACACACACACACACACAGGGCTGCCACCTTTAACCCCTTTATAAAAGGAAAAGCAGAATAAATGCACCTGGAGAGTGGGCACCTACACTGACTCTTTTTAGCGTTTCCACAAGACTTGAGTGGTGCTTTATGGTATTTATCCATTCTACCCAAAACAATGTTGCACATGTTGGGAAACCATCACACACTATGGCATTAAGACTGGGCAAGCAGCAGTATTTGCATGAAGTAGAGATTTACTGCTATGATAACACTGGACCCCAAAGCCAGGTCACACACAAGAGAGAAACACATCAGGAAACAGTTCTTTGAAAATAGAGAGCAGAGAGAGAGAGAGAACCTGGCTGCAGGTAAACATAAAACCCTAAAAAGAAAGGCCTGTGACTGAATGCATGGAAGCAATGCCATGTTTTCTGGTACAGGTGAATATTGTCCAAGAGCTTCTCAAAGTAAATCTCCTCCCTCATCAGAACTTTAGCTCCATAATTGAGAGCAACGCACTTTTAAGTTTATTTGGAAAACAGAAAGCTCAGCATTGCTCAAAATCAAGGCAGTACTTTCAGGCCAGCAAAATTCATCTTATATCATGCCTGTTCATTCAACTAGCTATTTTTGCAGCTTTGAAACAAGAAAACTAATAGCAGCTGAAAAACTCTCAACTCAGCATCTGTATGAATAACCTGAAAGCTCTTTATGGAGTGGTGGAAGGAGAGTGAAGGTTTTCTACCAAAACCGAAATGATGATTCATTTTCAGGGATGCTGTTTTTAAATAGAATTTCTTTCCAAGGAGAACTGAAGTTACTGGAACATTCATATTATCCACCACCAACCCTGACTCTCTCAATCCGAGCAAGAAGTGAGGGAGATAGGGACAGTTTGTGAAGCTCAGCAGTTAGTGGGTGAGACACTGGGTACAGTCCTGAGGGACCATTTCTTTTGGTAGTGCACGAAGTTTTTCACATGTTGGTGCTCATTCTGGATTGGCTGTTAGCTGGAGTGAGCTCCCCTTGGCTACCTTCCCTCGGAGGAGACTGCAACAAGACCAAAACACATCCTAGTTAGTGATGTGTAAATATTCTGCAGCCTGCTTCCTGAGAGACAAAATAAAGTACAGGTGAAGCACAGCAGAATGGCAGCAGGGGGAGAGCATACCCCCAGGTTCATTAATAATGGTTTTGTATTAACAACTTCTACAGTTCACAAAAACTTTTCCTAAAAAAAAGTCAAACTAGAGCTTTTAAGCCACTCTTATTTACTATGTACAAGGTGCTGTTGACCCCGGAAATTTAATCTTATCTGGCATTTAGTAATCACAGGGACTAATATACTATAGAAACTAACACATTCTGTGCAGATGGCCTATCCTCCCTAAAGGCATCTTTTTCAAACTGCAATCCAGAAGGAATACTCCTAACAATTAATGCATTTTTTATTTCCTCTTCAAACAATTACTTTAATTTTTAATTTAATAATTAACATTACTTCAAACAATCCTTATTGAGAAGGTAAAAGATATGTCTATCAAGGACTGGACCAAAGGAGTTATTCAGAAGTAACCCAACCATATAAACGTCAAAGGAGATTCTAAGCTATAGAAGCAGTTAGTGTACTGGCTAGAAACACCTGTTCCTTATATAGTTAGTATTTACTACTGGAAGAATTTGTCCAATCAGGAACATGACAGATTCATTCCCTTCCAAAATCTTCAATTCACCAACTTTCACAGTTTTAGTTAAAAAAGAAATTAAAATCTCAGCAGTGCCTTTAAGTCCGTGTTTAGCAGGCCATACCTTGACGTGTATCTGGTTGCGCAGGACTGCGGCGCGCAGGATCATTGCTTTGGCACGGCGCTGGAACTCTTTGCCCATTAGCAGAGACTTCTCGAAAGTTGTGCTGCGCTGATCTACATCTCGAGCATACAGAATCTGTAACCAGTACAGAGAACCGTGCATGGAAAACAGCTCGGGCATTATGGAGCCTGAGGTCACACCTACTGAATACACCAGGCCCAAGAGATGAGTGCACCTTCCAAGTGTCTCAGGAATGGAGAGTTCTAAGCTTAGCAAACCTGTTCAGTCTCTAATCCATGGGTGAAATGCACTCACCTTACTGTGAGAGTCTATTCTGGCATTGATCAGTCCCTCCAAGATCAGCTGAGTGAGTTCATCTTCCAGAGCAGCCACTGTGGTGTTAAAAGCAGTGGCCATCTTGCGCATGTCTGCTGACACATAGGGGCTAAAGTACTAAGAAGAAGAAAATACTCAGTTTCCAAGGGCACTATCCATCCTCTAAGAATCTAGGGGAAAAGCAATTGCAAAGAGATGGCCTGCCTCCCTGTTTATCCTCTGGGATGACAGGAACAATTACCTGGATAAGGGCACGATTTCGAATCTGGGTATAAAGTGTCCTGACATGAGGTGCGAGGTACATATCTAGCAGCAGGTTGTCCTGTCCAAAACAATAAACCACATCAGAAGCTGAGAAGCAATCTAGAAAAATATATTATTCCTGTGTTCTGAAACATTTATGCATATATACTTAAACCTTAAGAATATTACACTACAGCAAGACAATACGATAAAACAAGAATGAATAAAAGATTTAGGAATGTGTTTAAAACGTTTATAATTTCTCTCTACTAATAAACTACTCCCAGTTTCCATGCACCACATAAGAAGAGCTGAACATTTAGTATTTACTTTTGACAATCACTGCTTCTCACAAAAGGCTGGGCAAAGGAAACTTTTAGGGTCTGCTCTGCACTGCTCTCCTGCAACTCACCTTCATCTCATCCAGCATCTTCAGGCAGGAAGCGTATTTAGATTCATAAAACTTGAAGATGATGTCACGAACCTGCGGCTCCAGCTCCAAAAATAATTTGAAGGAGCTACAGATAAAATTAGCAGTGATCAGACATTGGAATCCGCCACTTAAATACTGCATAGCCCCATCATTCCAAGTTGCAAGGTTAAAAACCCTCACTATCCTTTGAGGATTCCAAGACTTCACCCTCTAACAGACCAGACAGCCCATTTTCAGCCAGGCTGGGAGCCTGGAACAGAGACAGAGCACAGCATCAGAGCTGTGATGAAGGAAGACAAAAGACTTTTGACAAGCCAAGTAGTAGAAATGTTTGTCCACACAAAACAAAATCACGAATGTGAATAGGTCAAAATCAGGATACATCACCAGCAAACAAATGCCATGCTGTCTTGTGCTGGCCAATTCTGTGTCCTCTTTCAAAGTACAGCCTTCATTAAGTACAGCATGCCATAGACAAGTCAAGCATGACAATTTCTCAGAAAAACAACCTATTGTGAGTGTGGTAAATCTTAGGGATGTACACTTTTACTCAGCCCACTCCCAGCTCTCCATCACAGATTTTTAAAATCTTGGGATCTCACCCTATGTATCAGCCCATAAAAAAAGGGTAACAACCCCTCTTCCACAGCAATTTAAGATTACTGCTTCTGTACATCTAGCTGACAGGAATTCAGTGTCATGGCAACTCAATCTATGACACACATATATCCACTTTCTTCCAAAGACCATAATTCTGTTAACCTTCTGTATGTCATAGTTAGATTAAACTCCAAGGCGTACTAATCACTAAATTGTTTTAACAATTAATGTACACCAGAACAACGGGCAACATGAAGGCAAATTGTCCTAACTGCTGCCTTTGACAGAGGGCTCTGTCCCTTGATTCAATGTCTGATATGAACTACTAATGGGTTATGCCGGTGCTGGATTTAACCCGGGTGGGAAACTCATACTGGGAAAACTTCAGCTGTGATTAATAACTCTGTTTTAGACAGTGAAACACGACTTAATGCTAAAGCCAAACTAAGGGTCAGTGATTCTTTCTCTCCTGCATGAGAAATACTCCTGCCAGCATCCATTCTTAACCAAAGTCCCATGTTCCAAAAGAAGTCCAATACATACAAGCATCACTCGAGGTATCACTCACCTACTAGAGATAACATTTCGTTGTAGTTCCTGACGGTCAAATGTAGCAAGGGCACAGAGCCCACCATACACAGCCACATTGCTGGGAGATAACAGCTACAGAGAGAGGGAGAGACAGAGGGCGAGCTGTCACTGACTACCAAAATGGCATAAGGGTGGCATTGAGTCTTCTACCCCATGCCTTTCTTTTATGCAGCCACAAGATAAGCCCTTATCAAATGCAGTGGACGCACTCAGCTTGCTCTCACCCAGGGTGTGAGGTGACAGGGCCAGAGCAGTAACACTGCTAAGAGAGCAGACATCAATTTCAGGAGATTTTGGTTGACTGAGCAACACAGAATTATAAATCTCACAGGTAACTCTTATATGATCTAGTGTAGAACATTTAGAGAAGCCAAGAATAGAGACTTAAAAAAAACCAAACCAACCAACCAGCTCAGTTCACAGCACCACCAAACTGTACAGGAAGAGTAACTGCAAGAGTAATTACAATATCTGAATTTTACAACCTAATAATTAGAAGAACTACATCCCCTCTAAGACCTGCACACAGCTCCCTCTTGGTCCTCACCTCAGGGAAATCACAGTGATCAAATGATGCCAACAAGAAGCACTTTGCTGCCTGTTTGTACTTCCGGGCAGCTAGTTCGGCCAAGCCTAGGAACCAGAAAAAGTTAATCCTTCTTTTATGACAGTATACAAATTAGAGAAAATTGAAAAATCTGGGGAGTAGGAAAGGCCCCCACATAGTTGCTAGTGCCTTCACTGCTGAAGTAAAACAAGATCTTCAGACTGTATCAAGCATCCTTTGAACTATATTGAATCACACAGGTATCCTCTCTGAAGAAACTCAGGGAGAAGAAAGAGATGGCAAAAACCAGCAGTTCTATCTCACCAGCTTCATTAAATTTTGCATGTCTGGTGTGGAAATACAAAGTCTGTCAAATATGAGAGAAAAAATAAACCCAAGAGCCTTACACATAGCTAACAAGTAGAAAGACAGGAAAACCATACAAGGAAGCTGAAGGACTCACTCACCTGCTGCACATTTCAGTTTGGTGAGAATTGCTTGTGTCTGGCTATCTCTTTCTCCTCTTTGCTAAAGCATAAAACAAAGCAGTAGTGAGCAAGCAGTATGAAAACTATTTTGCTTACAACTATTTCATCCTAATAATTAACTTGTTAATCTCAATGGCAAGATAACTTAATCTTATTTGTCTTGGGAAATATAGCAAAACTGGGGACGGGAAGTACCCATTTTTACCACCTGTCAGATTTTGTACACATATATCATGAAAGAAGTCGTAAAGGGAGAAAGGAAGAAATCACCTTACAAATTTTGGAAACAGAAAACAAAGGGAAAATTTATGTAAGTTAAAGAGCAGGAGCTTACTTCTGCAATTTCTGGTGTAGACTCAGCCTTGCTTACATAGCTCAGAACATGAGACCAATTCTGGAGGTAGACACTGACCTGTAGAGAGCCAGAAACAGTGTGGGGCAGGCATGGATAACTGGCACTCCTTAGATAAGCTGCAGCATTGCAGACACAAGAGCCAGGTGTGGGGGGCAACTTCACAGCAAGCAAAGACACCAGGCACTTTTGCCTGCAAATCCTCCTACCTTGATAACGTTGAGACACATGTTGATAACATGTTTAGCACTGGTGCAGTAATCACGGGCTCGTGAGTAACACTTGAGAGCATTGCTGAGGTCTCCACAGTCCAGGTAATGATCACCTAAGTCATCATGGCCTCTCCTGGAGGATTGGAATTACATAATCAATGGACTGTATGCTCAGAAAGGGACAAAGTCAGTTTGTTCTAAACAAGTAACTCAACACACTGACCTAAAGGCACAAACCATGTTAAATACATGGAGAAGCAAAATGCTCTTCCTTGCTCCAGCAGAGCTTTCTGCATCTCACCTGATACTCTCCTTGATGGAGTTCCCTTTGTAATTTTTGAGATCTGTATCGAGTTTCTCCAGTTTAAGAAGAGCTTTTTTGCGTGTAGCTTCAACCCAAGCTGTGTCAAGAGGAGGGGGTTCAATCCCACTGTCAGGGACAGCATCAGGTGTATTTTGCAGTTCTCTGAAAGGAAAGTATTTGAATGAGGCTATTAGGCTGAATACATTTCAAAACAGAGGTCTGCTAAGTGCCTGGCACTGTTACCCTAACAAACAGTACTGCATACACAAAACAGACCAAAGAGAAAATAAGGGTAGTGGGGAAAAAAGAAACATATTGCTAAAATCTCCAGTGCAAACAGTAACACAAGCATCACAGATATTTACAAATACTTCTCAAAATTACCCTAAGGGTCATAGGATGAACATACTGTCACACACATGGTAAAGACTCCCCATGCAAAACAGAGAAGAAATCATGAAATAAGCATAACAACAAAAATAATGCAAAGATGGGAAGCATGAATGGATAAGTGAGATATCAAGGTTAACCTTAACAGCAAACTCGTTTTTATAGGGGGAGGAGAAAGGAAAGAACAAACCAAAACAAGGCAAAGAGTTAGACTAGGTTTTAACTAATGAAAACAAAAGCATCTAAAATACATCTCCATAATCTACCTCCGGAAAAACATACATTCATTAATATTTGAGGCAGTTGCAAGGACTTAACTCACCTCAATATCTACCTACAGCTTTTTAGAGCACAAAGATTTCAGAATGAGATAATGCCTCCTGTGCTGTATCTTTTAGAAAAGCATGAACACACATTTTACTACAATTAAATTCTAAGGGCAAAAACAATTCGCGTAAGGTACATGCAGGTAGTACTTGCAAAGTCCCCCACTGCAGCACATTACTCTTAACTGTCAGGAAAGCTCCCCAGCTTCCTATGGCTTCTTAGTACCTCGTGGCTTCAGACAGCTTTCTGTGGATTTCTTCATACACATCAACATTGAAAGTTCTCTGGACAAATGACAGAGCCATCTTGAGAGCTTCCACCCGAAGCTGTGGGCAGTGATCAGCAATGAACTGCAGCCGCTCGATTCGCATCAGCCCACTGTAGCTGGACGCATACTGCTCCAAATCCTGCCAACAAAACCTGCCCTCAGAGGGTGAAAATGGACACACTAAACCAGGTTACTACACTGTGACCTGCACAGGTTTTCCTGCTGACTGACGCCCTCAAGGAGGGCAACATGACTCCAAAATCAGTAAGATTAGTCCGTGTCTGCTTTCTTCAAACATCAGTAATCTCCTCAGAAATACGTTCTACATTACAATTTACCTTCTTAAAACTTCCATTGTGTTTCCGTTAAGACTAATCAGCTTTAAGATTTTTCAGAAGGGATTTTTTCAAAATTCTTAAAGGAAGAGACCACATGCAAGAAATGTGCCCACAGCCTTCAGCAGCACGTACCAGCGTGGGGTTCTCCACCACATAGTTGATATCAGGTGAATTTTGCTGATCTTCTTGTGGATCTACGTCAATCTGCATGGGCTCCACTGCACCCTAAAATAGCAAAACAAGGTCAAAAGTAGCCTATTACATTTGAGCAGGAAATAACTATGTAATTCAATCTATTAAGGACTTGCTTAAATACGTGTTCAATTTTAAAAATTAAAAAGCACTCCTCAGTCTTTTGACATGACTAGGATTTTTATCTAGCAACACCACCAGTCAGCATGATGCTTGGTCTAACACAAATAGCAGCAAGGCTTATCATTTACACAGAGTAGTTTATTTGGGCTGGTAAATTATCAAGCAAAAAAGTGAAAGGGTCAATAAATCTGATTCTACAAAGTATCCGAGGTATGCATATGCATTCCATTTCCCTTCCTTGAGAAAGAGCAGGTATTAACACTCAGCTCAAAAAGTTCCAAAAGGCAAAACATACCAAAAAACTCACCACAACCTTTCAAAATTGCCTCAATGCTTAGAAATAATATTTTTTGGGAGGGGGAAGAGAAAAAAACGGTTACATTAAAAACCATAAAGAATAGAACGCAGAATGACAATTTCAGAGTTTCCAACATTGTCTGCAATGCAGGGATCTGCCAGTAGTCAAGCGATCTTACTGTAGCTTTCCAAGTCCAATTGCTCAGACAAAGCCTCTTTTGGAGAAACAACAGAATTTTATTCTCCCACTATGTCCTGCACTGATTTGAGCCACAAGTTATCCCATTCCACAAACTAACTGGTCTGCTGGCACAAAATTCTTTGTCTCCTCCTAGTCAAAGTGTGCTGAACAGTCCTCCTAGGAATTACCCATTTAAAGTGAGGAAAACTTAGCTGAAAGTCTTCTTATAGAATGTTGATTTTGTGCATATATTTATATAAGCTTGATTTGGTGTAAATTGCAAAAGTGGATCTCTCATAAGACAGACATGCCAACCATCCTGCCCCCATACATATCTGATTATTTCCATATTCTTATTGATTTTACTGTCTGTTAAAAAAATCAAAGATTGAGGGTTTTCTTTGACTGGGTTGATTGTTTGGTTGTGGTTTTTTGTGAGAAGGAAGAGGGCAGATCCAAATTTCCTATCTCTAAAAGTTACACTCATCCACACCTGGGGGTCTTATTCTTTCACAAACCGGTACATATCGAATACATATCTCAACACTGAAATCTCCCAAAATCTGAAGTAAAAGCAAGTGATGCATAAAAACATTTGTTTCCTAGTTTAATAACCTTTCCATGAAGGAAAGGGAGGGAGGATGCAGAGGAAATTTGGATTGTCTAGATCACCTCTCAGGCAAACTGCATAAAAACAGATAATCCACCATATGCTGAGGCCATTACTTTTTTTCCACTTTTATCTACCTTCTATCTTTTCTTATACCACAAACACTGAGTGCTAAGGTTAGTTTGCTTAGGTGATGCTTGCCTGCCATAGTAAAAACGCAATTACAGACTCATTAGAAAACACCATTACAAAAGTAACTGTAATTCCAGCTGGTAAAACAGAACAATTTGTGTCCTGCTACGCTGAGAGGCTGCACCCTGCATTTCCCACTTAACTCCCAGACAAGGAAAAACATAAGAGGGCTGAAAGTCCTAGTAGGACAAGCAAATTCGAATATTTTCAAGCTCTTTATTTGGAAAGGAAGATGCAAAGCTGACTTAAAAACTACTCACAAAGCAAACAATACAACAACCAAGACTTCCTGAGCCCCAGTGGGTACTCTGTTAGGGTACCTCACAGGCCTCTCACACAAGCAGATGAACTGGTGCCTGAGCTGAAGTCTCCTGCTATCTTCGGCAGGAAGAGGTGTGACTTGTTGCTGGAGGGAGTGCAGTACAGATCTCTAACTAATGAAGGAGCTGAGTTGGATGCTGAACTGTCCCTCACTTCCCAAAGCCCCATGCCCTGACACAGAATTATTACTGATAAAATTTGCAAAGGCTAGCCTTCTCAAGTACCTAGTGTCACCGATCCACTCGGCGCGCCTGGGGCTCTCCCCTGCACTGCGGACTCTCAGCTCCTTCTCACGGGGCCATCTCACCGTACCCTCCGCCACTACTCCAGCCCTGCCTACGGCACGTACAACGCGGGATCAGACACGAGGCCACCGCAGCGGCGCGGGACACCACGGGTGCCGGAGGATGCTCAGCTGAGCACTGCTCCCCGCGAACGGCGGCGGAAGCGACACAAACCCGACGGAAGGGCAAGCGAGGGCCCGGGACCAGCCGAAAGCCGCTCCCTTCCCGTGGAGCCCAAAGACAAGGCCGCATGGCGCCCCCGGAGGCCGCGGTCGAGCTGGGGTCCCAGACCCCGCGTGAGAGGGACGCGGAGCGCGGCAGAGCGCGGCGAGGCCCGACGGGCTAGACCGGCAGGACACTGCTGCCCCATACCTGCAGGTTAAAGACCTGGACGGGCAGCGGCATCCTCCCCTCACGCCGCCGCTTCCGGCAGCCCGCCCCTCCCGCTCTGCTTCCGCTTCCGTTTCCGGGCCGCGCGTCGCGGCCAGGCCACGGCCGACAGGTGAAGCTCTTAAAGGGGCCGCGGCCCCGCTCGGCCCCGCGGCGGCGGCGGCGCCGCGACAACCTCCGGGCGCTCCCTCGTCGGGGCTGCCGCCACCTCCCAGAGTGCGGGGCCATGAGGTGGCCGCGCCCTGCCGTGGGGGCCCGCGGGGCTGCAGCATGAGCGGTCCTTGCCTGGGGCTGCGCAGGGCCGGGGTCCTGCTGTCCCTGGGCGCCGCCGCCCTCCTGCTGTTGCTGCTGCCGCGGGGGCAGCGCCCCGCCGTGCCCCGCCCGCCGCCCGCCGCCGGGCCCAGCGCGCCCCCGCCGCACCGCACGGGCCCCGAAGGCTCTGCCGGAGCGCCGGGCGGCGGGGCCGGGGCCGGGGCCGGGACCGGGGCCGGGGCCGGGGCAGGCCTCGCGGGTAGCCCGCAGCTTGCGCGGAGGGGCCGCCTCAGGGCTGCCGGCAGCTCGGCCAGGGAGAGCCTCGAGCTGAAGGACATCTTTATTGCGGTGAAGACCACGAGGAAATACCATAAGAGCCGGCTGGACTTGCTCCTCCAAACCTGGATTTCCCAGGCGAGGGGACAGGTGAGATTTCGCCAGCGGACAGGGACAGCCGGGAGCCTCGGCCCTGCGCTTTCCAGGAGAGCTGCTGCACTCTCACGGAGATTTTTCTTACTTCTGTTAAAAGCGGCTTTCTTTGTAAGACTGTGGAAGGTCGTCTAATATAAACGGTTGGTGTGAACATGCTTCCAAAAGACTTCATTGCTGATTAAGCCAGTTACTTGCAATATGGGATCGGTAATCCAAGCAGACATAGTTCGCTGATTTTTATATGACTGTGGAAAGTGCCTTCATGATAGTGAAAGATTCCTGGTAATGATGCATCTAAGCTGATATTTTGGACTAAGTAGTTTTTCTGTAGAACATAAAATTTGTTCCCTTTTTTCAGAATTGCAGTCCGTTCAAGTATATTAATGGAATTTTGTCCAGTAGTTGCAACAAGACAGTATTAACCACCTGCGACTTCCCACCCTGACTTGCATTCTTTTTTCTTAACCTTCTTGACAGCTATGGATGATTCCTAGCCTGAGAAAGGAGGTAGTACCAAAAAATACCAAAATCCTTTCTGTCTGGAAATTAGTTGTCTGTACCCTGAGACAAAGAGGATAAGATACAGCCTGCTTTATTGAAATTATACTCTTCTGGTTTGTAATGAAAAAATTTAACAAATAAGTCAGGGGTTGACGTTGATGCACCCCTACTCCCTCCCCCATTCCAGTGGATACTGTGAAACAAACTACCAAGACAGACAAAACATTCTGAATTTTGACTGAAACTGAGCAAATTTAAAATTAGAATCTGAAGTTCTTAAATGTGGACACACCATTTTTGTCTCCCACAGACGTTTATATTCACAGACTGGGAGGATCAGGAGCTACGCCTGAAAGCAGGTGAGCTGTGTAGCAGCATAGGTGCATCCTGTCTGTTATAACTGGGTTTTGTTTCTTTCGTACTTTCTATAGAAGTCCTTATTTTGTGCTGTACAAGCAATTAGGGAAGTTAAGATGGGGAAAATAGAGAAAATTTCTCCCTAACTGCCACCTGGATAAGATGCCTAGGACATCCAGAGTACTGGGTTCACCTTTGCACCCTCTTTCTTCTTGTTAGTAAGCTTATGTTGTCCAAAGGTACAGTAGATATTTCCTTTGTGCACATCTCATCACACTCTTTGTATACCCTTGCTTATTTTTATGCACTCACACAATTTGAAGACCTCTGCAGCTTACATGCCAGATGGATAACCTGTGAGCCCTGCCTGTCCTGCAGTTTCTTCTCCACGTGTGCACCTCAGATGTAGAGTATTAGTGCCAAATGTGCACTTCTTTTGTAGTCTTTTTTGACTACACATGCTTCTCAAACCTGAAAGGCATGATCTTTATTCTTCTAGGGGATCATATGATCAACACCAACTGTTCTGCTGTCCATACCCGGCAAGCTCTCTGCTGCAAGATGTCTGTGGAATATGATAAATTCCTGGAATCTGGGCAAAAGTAAGTGAAACACATTGTTCTGATTGACTTTGTTTCTTCCAGTTCTGTGCTTCCAGGAAACTTGAGTAATGATCTCTGTTCCAGTAAGGAATGCAGTATTAGCTAAAAGGTATGGATGAGTGCAGGAAAGGGAGCACAGCAGGAAGCAGTGTTTGTAAACAAGCATCATCTGAAAAGTGGAAAGGATTATAATCTAAGGGGGTTATTAAGTTCAGCCTCTTTACAGACTTAGCACCTGTGGGTGCTTTCATCTTTCCTATTTTGTAATTTGGGACAATAAGCAAATATTTTCTGCTCCAAGCCTGAAAGACTATGACTCAGTTGTAAATCTATAGCTCATTTCTTTGTCCTTATAACTTCTTGCTTTGTTTTTTTTTGTAGATGGTTTTGCCATGTGGATGATGACAACTATGTCAATCCTCGGACTCTCCTACATCTCTTGTCTGCCTTCTCACACAGCCAGGATGTCTATGTGGGGCGACCAAGTCTGGACCATCCCATCGAAGCAGCTGACCATGTCCAAAGTGATGGATCAGTAAGCAAACTTTTTCAGTTTGTCTGAGAGACATCCTGATCTTCTGAGCCTTTAAAACCTTGACAATTCATAGGATTCCCCCATAAATCCAAGTGATTTAATCTGCAAGAAATGAACCTGGTTATGGTTATTTTCAGAGGCAGGTTGCTGGGTTAAATGTACCTTCGCTCTGATGTTGTATGCATATGTATGCACAATAGAGGTTGTCTCCTGGGTGGCTATCTGTTTCTATTCCTTTACTCTTATGTGCTGTAATCTCCCTCACACTGAGCTTAGTAGGGCCTCTCCATCTTGACTCTTCCTTTTCCTTTAGTGGCTTTGGGGGCAGTGTTCATTGTTTTAGGGCTTGGGAGTTTGGTGGGAGTTCCAGGTGTTTTTTATTTCTTTTGTGTGCAGTATCACACACATTGTCATCATCTTGAACCAACCTCACATGGGTGACAAAAGCTTTCTGGATAGATAAAGCATTTCCAATATAAAGTGGTTACTAGGTTTCTAAGAACCAGAAGCAAACATATCTCAATCATAAGATACAAGTGCTAAGGAAAAAGTCCTGACCTGGTGGCCTGCACTGGCAGGTCTCTTTAAATATGTATCAATCCACCAGCCAGAAAGTCA